GAGGTACGGGGGCAGGAGACTGGAGCACAAGTCGAGCCCATGGGTATCAGCGAAACTGGTTCCAACGAGCACGATCTCGAAAGCACTGTTCTCAGCCCGGGAAAGCGAGGTGATCGCTTGCTCATCTTCACTCTCTCGAGGGCATTGAAGGTGCGACGTGAACGGATGGACGTTGCTGCTTCGTATTCCGACTTGTCACGATCTTGCCCCGTGTGGGTCTGCCGCCTATTGGTGAGTGGTTGTTGTGTACCCAGCCTGTGAAGCAGCACTCTGATGGGTTGCGGATCTCATGTTTGGTTCAAGGCGCCTCTAGCCGCGCCCAGGGCCTGGCCGCCGCCTCCGGTGGTGAGGCGCCGGGCAGCCCGCGTCTCTCATGAGGTGGGTCGCTGTGTCGGCCTGCCTCGTGCACGTGTCGCCGGCTGCCCAGCCCGCCTCCCCGCCCCCCTCCCCCTCCTCCAACTCCTCCCCCTCCTCCGGGAGTGCCGCTGCGCTCTGCTCTTCGGACTCGGAGTGCTGGTTCGACCCCTTCGCGCCAGTATGCAGCGCAGGCGGGAGGCGGTGCGTCGCGTCGGCCGCGTTTCGAACGGCGGCGGGGGGGTGCTCGGCGCGCCAGCCGGTGGCGGGGCGCGGCCCACGGGTCGTCGAGCGCACGGCGGGGCACGCGGCGGGCTGCCTGGGGGCGTGCCTCGCCTCGCCGCGGTGTGGAGCCGTCGAGGCCACCTTCAACCGGACCCGCCGGGACTTCGACTGCACGCTCCTTGGCGAGGCCGAGGTGGACGACGCCCGCCGCGACCGCGCGCGGTTCGCGGTCTGCCACATGCGGGTCCTCGGGTCTCCCATGGACCACAGGCTGCCGGGCTACCTGGACGAGTACTGGTTCCTGGCCGCCGTGGTCGCGGTGTGCGCCGCGCTGCTGCTCTCGTGCGCGGTGGCCATCTGCTGCTGCCTCCGCGCCCGAGGCCAGAGGCCCCAGCAGAAGCGGGGGCGGGCGCGGCAGTTTGAGCGCCCCCTGGGCCAGATCCTGGCCGACCGCCAGCACAACCCGACGGGGTCCTTCATGGTGCCCGACCCGCTGGGCGCGCAGGGGCTCGAGCCCTCGCCCGCGGCCCGACGGACCCGCACGGATGCGCGCGACCATGCCCGGACGTGCCCCTGGGACGGGCACGACCCTGACGGCCCCGTGCTCGAGGACCGCCCTTCCGTCCGGCGCATCCGCTGCAACCACGTGCCGCAGGCGGAGGTGGAGTCCCTGAACGCGTTCGTCCGCGAGTGGCTGGACCGGGGACGGGCCCCGCGCTACGTCGTTGCGTTCATAAACCCGCGCTCCGGGGACCAGAGCGCAGAGTTCATGGAGCGGGAGTTTAACCGCTTGCTGGCCGGCCCGGGGCGCGAGCTGGAGCACGTCGGCATCGGCACGGCCTGCCGCCTTGGCACTGGCAGCGTGGGCCAGGCGCTGTGGCAGGTCGCGGAGCTGCAGCGTCTGCGGGCGGAGGCGAGGGAGCGGAAGATCCACCTGCTGGTCTGCGGCGGGGACGGCACGGTGACATGGGTCCTCTCCGAGATAGAGCGGTTCATGCGGGAGCATCCCGAGGCGCTGCAGCAGCAGCCGCCCATCGGCATCGTGCCCATGGGCACGGGCAACGACCTTGCCCGCTCGCTGGGCTGGGGCTCCAAGTTCCGCGACGCGGCGCACGTTGCGAGGTACGTGCACAATGCCCTGGAGGGCACGGTGGTGGAGCTCGACCAGTGGAAGGTGACGCTGAGACCGAAGTCGCTGCTGCCGCCCGCCCTGCAGCGGGTGCACGAGCACGGGCTGGACCACGTGGCTTACTTCCAAAACTACTTCTCGGTCGGCATGGACGCGCAGATCACGCACGGCGTGGACCTCGCGCGCCGTGACTCCTGCGGCAGGTGCTGCTTCCGCTCCGGTCTGGGCAAGTGCTGCTACCTGTTGCACGCCCCCTGCAGGTGCTGCTGCTGCGCGCCCCCGCCGCTTGGCGCGGACCTCCAGGTCCGCTACGCCCCTGCCAGCTCACCCGACGGGCCGGCGACGATGGAGCCGATGGTGCTGGAGGGCGAGGTGCGCCAGTTCACCATGACGAACATTAACTCCTACGGCGCTGGCCGGGTGCTGTTTTCGAGCGAGGATCTCGCAAGAGTGCGGCCTGACGACGGGTTGTTGGAGGTGTTCACCGTCCCTGGTCCGCTAGCGCTCGGGCTGCTCAACACCGTCAGGTCCACGAAGTTCATCCAGGCGCGCAGGGTTGAGCTGACGCTCGGCAGTGGGCAGTTCTTCCAGCTGGACGGTGAGCCGTTCTTCGTCGGCGCGGAGTGCCACGTGGCCGTGGAGCACCACCGGAAGCTGCGGCTGCTGTGCCCGCCGCGGCAGGGCCGCCACGCCGCCGGCGGGGAGTGGCGCGGCCGGCAGAGGCGCGAGTTCTGGCGGGGGCCCGCACCGGCGCCGCCGGCGGGCGGACTCGCGGGGGAGGCGCCGGTGTGAGGCCAGCGCGCCCTCGCTCTGCCTGTGGCGCGGGCCCGGGCAGGGCGCGAGGCGAGGCGCGCGCGCGCGGGCCGCGCTCGGCTCGAGGCGCTCAGACTTGGCCTCCTCGGCGGGGGCGTGGCCGAGACGAGCCTGCGCCCCCCACCCCTGTGCAACAACAAAACACAGACAGGTATGGGGGGGACTCAGGGGGTCGATCTGCGCATTATGCATGGCAGGGTGCGCGCTCGTGTCCTCTTGATGCCCGTCCTGACGTTCAAGTACGAGGGCCCAGTTACCAACATCGAGTGTTGCGAACGGTGTATATATATATATATATATATATCAAGTATACATAGATGGTTTGCCCCCGCTGAAGTCATATTTTACATTCCTCGTGTCTCAGCAGCATCATTCCTCTTTGTCCTCACATCTGATTTCAATTGAAACGCAGCATATCCCAGATCCAGAAGATTCCCATTGAGTTTGAATAGGATGCTAATCGGATTTCAATTGAAACGGAGCAAATCCCAGATCCAGAATATTCCCACCACCTTTGAATGATAGGGTGGGATTTTGAATCGGAACGAAGCAGTTCCCATATCCAGAGGATTAGTATTCAATGCAGGTCGGTACAGACAGCCATGAACACCATTTTTCAGAGAGCGTAGTCGTCATTATCCTTCGATGTATGCGCCTCTTCTTTCGTCTTACCTCATTGCTCTCCTCCTCCTTCTCCTCATTTTGCCCTCTCGTCCTCCGCATGGCCATTCCTCCGTCGCCTTTCCCGCCGTTGACCTCCTTTGTTTCCTCCTCTGTCGGCTTCTCCTGCTCCTGCTGCTGCTAGAGATGTTGCTCCTTCCTCTGATGAAGAAGAGGAATCTTAACAAGGTGGAGAAGACGGGTTTGTTATTGACTCCGAATAAGATTCGAATATTATTATTCGAAGAGGGGTAGATCTCATATCCAGAGGACTCATGTTGAGTTTGAATTGGATCTTGGGAACTGGAAGTGATCCATCCAGAGGATTCCTATGGCATTTGGATGGGCTTCTAAGCAAACTTCCATAGGCATGGAGTGAATCCCAGATTCAATAGGGTTCCAATCGGATCTCAAGAGTATTGGAGCAGATCCCGGATCAAGAGGATTCTTGTTGGACTCGAACAGGATTCTAGCCAGATGTCAATAGGAACAGGGCAGGTCCCATATCGAAGACGCCTACGGCGAATCACCGCCGCCCCCTGCCCCTCTGGAAGCGCCTCTGCAGCCGACAGTTGGGCCAGAGCTTAGCCAAGCTATCGGGCCGGCTGTTCCCCGAGTCGGTTTGGAAAGACTTCGGGGAAAGCATGGGGGAGCAAGAAGAGAGGAGGGGGAGGATGAGGAACATGGAGGAGGAGGCCTCTTGGGCGCCTCTTGGGCGCCTCTTGGGGCACTCTTGGGGCCTCCTGGGAGCTTCCTGGGGGCCTCTTGGAGGATTTTTTGATGGCCTTTGTGGGCTTTTTTGGTGCCTCTTTGGCCGTCTTAGGGCGTTCCTGGGTTGTCTGACTCCCTCGGAAGCCGTCTTAGGGGCCTATCTGGGTTGTCTTGGGGCCCTCTTGGGGCATATCAGGGGTTCTTAGAGGCCATCTTGGGCGTCTTGGAGGCCTCTTGGGACGGGCCGTTTTGAGGCCCTCTTGGGGCCGTCGTGGGGGCCTTTTGTGCCATCATGGAGCCATCTTGGAGGCCTCTTGGGGGATCTTGGGGGCCTCTTGCGCCGTCTTGAGCCGTCGGAATCCCGAGAAGCAAATGCCACAATCTTTCAAACATCTTATCAAAATCAATGATGTTGGCCTCGTCGGGCCCTCCTGGAGGACCTCTTGGAGGCCTTTTGGGCCGTCTTAGAGGCCTCTCGGGCCTTCTTGGGCAATCTTGACGCCATTTTACGCTGTCTTGGGTGCATCTTGGGCCGTCTTGGAGGCATTGTGGGCCATCGTAGCCGTCTTGGAGGCCATCTTGGGCGTCTTGGAGGCCCCTTGGGCCCTCTTGGCGCCGTCTTGGGGGCCTCTTGGGCCGTCATGGGGTCATCTTGGAGGCCTCTTGGAGGATTTTGTGGGCCTCTTGCGCCGTCTTGAGCCGTCGGAATTTCGAGAAGAAGCAAATGCCCAAATCTTTCAAACACCTTATCAAAATCAATGATTTGGGCCTGGTCGGGCCCTCCCGGAAGACCTCCTGGACGCCTTTTGGGCCGTCTTAGAAGCCTCTTTGGGGCCTATTGGGCCGTCTTGGACCATCTTGAGACCATCTTAGGCCGTCTTGGGTGCATCTTGGGCCGTCTTGGAGGTATCTTGGGGCCATCTCAGTCGTCTTGGAGGCCATCTTGGGCCGTCTTGGAGCCGTCTGGAGCAGGAACAACCCTTTGGAACCGGGGGGACCCCGGCGGGACGCGCCGGAGCCCCAGGGGGAGTTCTGTGGGAAAAAGAACCAATACCAAAACAAAAAAAGGGTTCAGCACGCCAGGCGCCCCTGTGATGAATCAACAGGGGGCGGCGGATCGAAGACGCATACGGCGAATCACCGCCGCCCCCTGCCTTTTTGGAAGCGCCTATGTGGCCGAACGTTGAGGCCAGACCTGCCAAGCTATCGGACCACGTGTTCCCCGAATAGGTTCGGAAAGCCTTCGGGGAACACGTGGGCATCTTGAAGGTCGTCTTGGCCGTCTGGAGGCCATTTTGACCCTTTGGGGCCTTCTTGGAGGACGTCTTGGAGGGCTCTTGGGCCGTCTTGGAGACCATCTTGAGCGTTTTGGAGGCCTCTTGGGCCGTCTTGGGGGCCTCTTGGGGCCGTCTTGAGCGATCCTTGGGGGCACTTGGGCCGTCTCGGGTCGTCGAAAGGCCGAAAAAAAACAAAATGCCACAATCTTTCAAAACCTCATGGGAAATCAATGATTCTGGACTTTTCGGGCCTTCCTGGAGGCCCTCTTGACGGCCTTTTGGGCCGTCTTGGGCCATCTTAAGGCCGTCTTCGGCCGTCTTGGTGGGTTCCTGGCCCGTCTGACGCCGTCGGAAGCCGTTTGGGGGGTGTCTCTGGTCCGACTGGGGGCCCTCTTGGAATGCTCCAGGGCCGTTTTGGAGGCCATCTTGGGCGTCTCTTAAAGGCCCCTGGGCCGTCTTGGGGGCCTCTTGGGGCCGTCTTGGGGGCCTCTGGGGCCGTTCTGGGGCCATCTTGGAGGCCTCTTTGGCGATCTTTGGGCGATCTTTGGGGGCTCTTGGGCCGTCTCGGGACGTCGGCAGGCCGAAAAGAAGCGAATGTCAAAATCCTTCAAAAACCTCAGGAATAGAAGTGTGTTTGGCCTTTTCTGGCCTCCTGGAGGCCCTCTTGGAGGCCTCTTGGGCCGTCTTGGGCCAGCTTCGAGCCAACTTCGGCCATCTTGGTGGGTTCCTTGCACGTCTGACGCCGTCGGGAGCCGTCTTGGGGGCCTCTCTGGGCCGACTTGGGGCCCTCTTTGGGCGCTTCGGGGCTGACTTAAGGGCCATCTTGGGCGTCTTGGAGGCCTCTTGGCCCGTCTTGGGGCCCTCTTGGGGCCGTCTTGGGGGCCTCTTGGGCCGTCATGGGGCCATCTTGGGGGCCTCGTGGGCGATCTTGGGGCGATCGTGGGGGCCTCTTGGGCCGTCTTGAGCCGTCGGAAGGCCGAAAAGAAGCAACTGCCAAAATCCGTCAAAAACCTTTTTCTGGAAAGTCAATGATGTTGGTCTCTTCGGGCCCTCCTGGAGGACCACTTGGAGCGTCTGGGAGGCCTCTTGGGGGTTAGGCCATCTTGAGGCTATCTTAGGACGTCGTGGGTGCATCTTGGGCCGTCTTAGAGGCATACCATCTTAGCCGTCTTGGAAGTCATCTTGGGCTATCTTGGGGCCGTCCGGGGCAGGAAAACAGTTTGCAACCAGGTATTCCGGGTGGCCGGCGGGACGGGCCGAAGCTCAAGGGGGAGTTCTTTTGGACAAAGAACCAAAACCAACACCGAAAGGATCTAGCACGCCAGGCACCCCTGCGATGAATCGACAGGGGGCGGTGGATCTAATGGGTTTTTGCCAATCCCGCCACCGTGCCTGGCTTGTGGGTCAGAGACCTCAGGGATGCTTCTTGGGGTCTCTTCGGATCGCTCTCGGGGGCCAATGGGGGAAGCAGTTATTATTGGGCCTCTTGGGGCCCTCTTGGGGCCTCTTGTGGGCCTCTTGGGGCCTCTTGGGGGCTTCCTGGGGGTGTATTGGGGCCGAAGGCTCGAACTGTTTGTTCGGGTTCCCCCTGTGGGCCTCCTCTTGGGGCTGTCCTGGGGCCGTCTTGGGGGCTTCTTGGGCCGTATTGGGACCCTCTTCGGCGGTCTTGGAGCCCTCTTAGAGGCCTCTCGGGCCGTCTTGGAGCGATACTGGAGGCCTTTGGGGCCGTCTTGGACATTGTGAAAGCCCAAGAGCCGAGTATGATAAAAAGATGCGCTTCCCTAAGATAATGAATAGGACGGTGTTTGCATCTTGGGGCCCTCTTGGGGACATCTTGGAGAGTTTTGGAGGCCTCTTCGTCCGTCCAGAGGCGCTTCTTGACCGTCTTGGGCGCTTGGCGGGGGGCTCCGCGAAGTTCTCCGGGTCGTTTGGGGCGTTGCAGCCGTCCCAGAGGCCGTGCGGAACCCCCGGGAAATTGGTGGTCCGGGCCCTTAAGCCATTACAATCCTGGCTGCATCAGCAGGACCGCTGTGAGCTTTGGGGAACTCCACTTCGTGCCAGAGACACGCTGGCGGATCCAAAGAATTCCGATCGAAAGCGAGTACGATTCTGATCGGGAGTTCATCCAGAGTAGGGCAGATCCCAGATCCTGGGCATTCCGATTGAATTCTATGTAATTATCATCATCTGCGAAGCAACACGGAGCAGATCCCAGATCCAGACTTGTCTTATTTGGGTTAGGGTCGGAGTCTAGTAGGTGTTCAAAAGGAACAGAGCATATCCAAGACCCCAGAGATTATCATTGAACTTGAATCGGGCTTTAATCGGACT